ATCTGTGAGTCAAAAGAGCGGGGTATCGTCAGGCTCGATCTCTAGGGTGAGGCTTTCATTGATCAGGGGTTTTGAGAGCTTTGATGCAGATAACTTTGGCGCTATCGTTAAGCTTTCCCCTGTAGATCGTGCTACATTCGTTTTTGAGGAGTTGGAACTACCTTCATAATTTTCTAGCCTTGTCTAACTTTGAGAATTAGCTCCGACTGAAATTCAGCCCGAATTTCGACGAGTGCGGCACTAACGGATAAATAGTGCCGTCTGTACGAGTCACAATTTTACCCTCCCGAATGAAAATGGTACGAGTCACAATTTTACCCTCCCAAATGAAAATGGTGTCAGCCCGGGTAGGAGTAAATTCAGGAACCGTATTTGTGTGGCAGCGACACCACTTGTAATTCCTTGCATGGCTTTCATAGGAGTTTCTTGGTTCAGCTGAATTTTCACCTAACTTCTGCTCCTTGCAGAGAAGGAAAGATCCAGGCCTCACTTGGAGTTTCACAAGCTGCTGCGGCGACAATGAAGGAGGTGCTTAAAATGGATTCTCGATTTTGGCCCGCATGGCAGGAACTGGTGCAGTTAATCGATACTGTAGATGAAGTAAGCGTTCAATGCCTATCCTATCACATAATAGGGTCCTGATCAATATTTATAGATTTAGATTGCTGCATGCAAGGCGCTATGCACGAAAAGTCCGGACACGTCATGGATGCCCGATTGGTTTGAGAGTTTAGCATTGTCGAGATTTCATATGGACGCGTAAGGATGCTTTGCTCACTGTTTTGTTTACTCTCCTCAAAACATAATTGAGATTGGGCGCAGTTCGGCTTAGAGGAGGCACCATGGTACTCAGCTGAACTTGTACATTCCACCTTGTGAAGACTTGTAAATTCCTGTGACAGAAGTGGCTCACTCGTACATTTCTGCCATTCACAGAACTTATGTCTTGTCGAAGTGAGACCTGTAAATTTAAGTACCCCTCCAGGCCGAACAGTGCCGCTCCGTCCGCCGATTGTTATATTTGTCGACCTTTTCAGTGAAGCTCTGAAAAAAGCTGAATTGCTAGTCGCTCGTGGACTACCAGGAATACCGATGATCTTAACACAAGTCGCTGCCTGTTCGAATCATCTCCATGGTGGGTCCACTATTTGGTGATGTTTTTGTATTCTTTCAAGTTTTATCACTTGTCACTATTTCGGCGCTAAGCACCCTTCACTGCCCAGTTCCTACTTTTCTGAATTTGCGTCAAAACCGAGGCACATCGTTGTCGTGGAATCCCCAACAGAGGGTCGTTTTTGGCCGC